TGGCAAACCATTTAGCCCTATTTTTTGGAAATACGCGTCGACTTCTCTTTCATGAAACTCACTCCTGTTTCAGTTCACTGCTCCGTTTACTCCGTTCGTTCATCGCCGTGATTCACAATTTATTTCGCTTGAATCAGCCCTTGCAGTCAAGCAGATCGCGAAGCGCAGTGAGAATCCACGTACATCGGTTTGGGTCTGAATTTATAAGATTTGAGATCGCTGTCCGAGTATTTTCTCAGTTTTCCCTTTCGTTCGGTCATTTCGTGCTGCATAGGCCAGTTATTCCGTGCTGCATAGGCGCTGCTGTGCGCTGCAAGAATGAGTATTGTTTCGGACCTCTGCGTGACGACCCGGGGGGGGGGGGGGCGCTAACTGTCAGGTAAACTCACTTGGCTCCAATTTGCCGAATTTTAGTAAATATTAATTGATCGTTCTAATTATTAGTAGAACACTAGGCTGAACTAGTTGTCTCGCACTGGTGTTATTCCTGGAACGATAGCCGTTTGCAGTGAAAGCTCAGGACGCTTCTTTGTTTTCATCCATACTATGATACTGATTGTGACGTGAATCTGGTGCATGTTTCAGGTTGGAATCGAAGACTGCCTTCACATTGAGTTCGAATATAACAAGAGCAGGTATTATTTCATATGTTCCGTATGATTTCAGTGTGTCAATGGTAGAACGAAGTGCCTCTGATTCTAGCAGTTACAGCCTTATCGTTAGCAAACTGCGTCTGCGTCGAAACTGGGCACAACGGTTCTTTAGGTCGTTATAAATGTTTCCAGGAGTGCATGTCTCTTTGTTGATTAAGGTACCACCTTCAAGACGTCATAGTGGGAAAAATATACTTTGTGTTGGTTCGTATAAAAATCAAGCACATGGAGATTACAATAATCAAGTCGGAAACAGTCGGTTCCGGTCCTAATGCTGCTAAGGAAACTGATCCTGTGGCGAAATTTGAAATAATGGATGGTGCACCTGTCAGAGGTAGGAATGAATTTATGACTGCCATATTTCTGTTTTCGCTCGGTTCCCTTTGTGGTTGGTAGTGCTTATTTTTCATCTTAATAGGAGAGTCCATCCCTATTCGGCTCTTCCTCGCTGGACATGATCTTGCTCCTACCATGCGAGATGTCAGTAAAAAGTTCTCTGTTAGGTATCTCTTGAACCTTGTCTTGGTCGACGAAGAAGATCGGCGGTATTTCAAACAAACAGGTACTTGATTATAAAAATTAATCAGAGTGGTTCATACTTCTCGATCCCATCGCTTGGATCGCGCCATCGGATCGCTCGATCGTTTGGATCAGACAGTGCATGAACGCGGCACAAATTGAATTCTGCCGTTGTGGCAGTGCGCTGTTTGGCGGTGGAACGGTCCCGGTCGCTATTCAAGCGATCCGATCGCGAAGTATGAACGCGCTCTTCTAAACACATGGTGAAACTACTCAAATACTTCTTAAAACATGAATTAACATAAGTTTGAATTGTTCACACATGTTTTGCAATTTTCCTTGTTTTATGGCTCAGTTCGTTTCCTTTTATCTAACATGTTTCGCTAATTGTGTGGGCATTCCTTTTAAGTAGACAGAAGGTAACTAGAAGAAATGGTCCCGGTGGAGATTGACAGCAGTTGGGGAGGGGAATGGGCGGTAACAGTCATGTAAATTTTTTCGATTACCAAATACTGAGTCGCTTTTCAGACATTGTTCATACCTCAGCTCACTGTTCGAGTGATTCATTGCACGTATAGAGTGCAATGAAACACCCCTTACTTGTATCACCTGCGATCCCCCCCCCTGACCATAGAGCTGCTCAAGCGGGCGCCATCAATGTCCCCACTCGTCCGTGTAATGTTCTGGAGTCGTTCCATGTTCTCTGCGCTCGAGGGACACGATGAACATCATACCATTTAGTCGGTTCTTTTACGAAGAATTCTGACGATGGTCGCTTGGCATCTCCTG